AACCTCGCTCCCCCACTCGGGGCCGAGTGAGGATGGTTGCTTTGCTGTTATTCCCCTTTTTGCATGTGAGGTTACATAGTTACTTATTTATTTACTTGTTGCACGGATAGGCGGTTGGCCGTGTTTCACAGTCACGTTAGCATCTAACACGGAAAGAGAGCAGAGGCTGGGAATTAAATAGAGGAATGGGCAAAAGCTGTTTTGGGAGCAAGAAGCTCCCAGATGGCGACTCTAGGATCCCTGGCCAAAGGGTGGGCAGCATATTGGAGAGGGGTGCTCTGATGCCCCCACCCCCAGTCACTAAACTGGGAAGGGAAGCAGCCGGTGCATGTTCACGCTGAAGCATCCCTCCTGTGGTAGACTGGATAGGTTATGGATTCCTGGCCCTTGTGATTGCGAAGAAACTCTGTGTAGCGGGTTGCTCATTGAGCTGCTAGCCACAAGGGCAGCGGTTCAAACCCACCAGCGACTCTGTAGGAGAAAGATGGGGCTGTCTACTCCTGCAAAGATTTAAAGCCTCAGAAATCCAAAGGAGGGAGACGTTCTGCAAAGTCCCAAAGGATCACTGTGGGTCAGAGTTGACAGGTAGGCCGTGAGTAAGTGAATTGTGGCTGTGATCTTGTTGGGAAAGAGTTCTTTTTGTTATGGTAACAACACCATGGTAGCCTAGGGTGTTACAGTCATTCTAAACCTAATCAATTCTGCGTCATAAGAACAGAGTCAGAGACACACCACTCGGGCAAGACGGGTCCCTTGTAAGAATTGCTTACAAGCCACAGGACGCCAAGGAACAAAGGAACACCCAGGGCTACTCACAAAGGACGTTGACATCCCAAGATCTTGATTTGGACGTTCAGCTTCCAAACCTGGGCTAAAGGAGAGCTTTCTTTTTTTGCCCAAAGCCACTTACATGTGGCATTTGTGTTATAGCAGCACTAGGTACCTACAGCATCTCCTTACCCCGACAACCCAAGTCCTTCCTCGCTGCCCAGTAACCCTACTAGCATGATGGCCTTCGGGGCCTCTCAAGATCTGACCCTGCCCAACTCTCCCCTCACTGCCCACAGAACCAACCACCGCCGTCCTGATTCACCCCTCTCAGACCCACACTTTGTACGTCACTCTCGGGAGCTCTGCCCAGCAAGGCGCAACGCAAACACGATTCCCGCTCTGTGGAGCTTCTCTACTGCCCGTGAGTCAGACTGGGAGACGGAAGGACACCAAAGTGGCCCCCAAGCCAGGCCGAGCAGGCAGAAGTGAAGGGACCGTCATGAGTCCGTCCCAGTGAAAGCGGCACCCATCGAAGACCACAGGGACTCAGGCCGCCAGGCTTTGGGAGTGAGGCGAGCAGAGCGGTAGCTGTCTTCAGCGGCTCTCCCCTTTCTCTGACCTACATCAAAAATGCGCTTTGTAGCCAAACTGAATCCGTGGCATCTGTCAGACCATTTCTAACCCAAACAATAGTTCACAACACCATGGTCAACCTGACCTCCAGGATGGGATCTAATGTCATTCTAGTCTACGTCCGCGGGAGCCT